CTCCTGCACACCCCCTACTGGGGATCGAGGCTGAAACCCAGGCTTGTGCTCTTGGCCGGAATCGAACTTGGGACCCTTCAGTCCACAGACTGATGCTCTATCCACTGAGCCAAGCCGGCTAGGGCGGTACCCTGGCTTTTGATTCCATAGGGATAGCATTTCAGTGAGTTACACTTGTTATGCCTGACATTCAGTTAAGTAAGACCTTTTTTTATTTTCAGATCCCTAGGAAAACAGAAGGGATATGTGGGCAGGCAGGACATATTTTAAACACAGCAATTTAGAAATTGTTTCTCTTTCAGGGAGTATCGTCCTGAATATGAACGTCTGAAGAAATCACTGGTAAGAGAGGAGGCTGTTTGTGTGTTTTAGGGCCACTAAAAAAACAACCTCAAACCATACACTTATCCTCCTGCCATTAATACTTTTGTTTCAGCCATCAGTGTGTCTTTTAGATACTTGTTAATTTAAATTTGTAAATGTCTATGTGTGCTGTCTGGATATAGAAAGGCCCCTTAAATTATTTTTCTTTATTTGAAGTTTTAAAAACCAGATTTTTCTGCCCTGGCAAGGAAACTCAATTGGTTAGAGCATCGTTCTGATATGCCAACAAATTGATGTGTCCCCCCCCCACCCCCCATTCCTCTCCCTCTAAAATCAATATATTTAAAAAAAAATTTTTAAATCATATTTTCTTGTTATATGTGCTAAGCCCTTATTGCACCCTACCCCCACCCCTACTCCGATGTCCATTTAAAGGACCTCGTAGAGTTTTGTTTAGGAAAAGAGAAGTGGTTCACAACTCTCATTTCAACGGATCAGGTGTCCTGTCCCCGTTGGCCGCACTGGGCTCTATATCACCAAGCCTTCCTGCTTTATCTGCTTGAGGGATCTTTTGGTGTATTTTGTGTCCAGTTCCTGGAACTTCTGATTCAGTCTCCAGAGCCCTCCAGCCTGAACTGCTAATCTGGGCCCATACTGCTCAGTGTTTCTATCCTATCAGCCATCCCTCATCTGCCTCAATGAGGAAGTGTCTGGCATTTGTATAATTGGTCATCTCCAGTCAGAAGATACATCTGACTTGGGGCTCTTTTTTGAATCTAATGATAGTTTTCTCTACATGTACAGGCCAGTGCACAGAGCCAGCAGCAGAAAGAACAACTAGAACGCCTTCAGAAAGATATGGGCTCTGTTGCCTTGGACACAGGAGCTGCGACAGGTATTGGAGGGTCTTTCGTGTTAGGGACTGAAAGTGGATATGTTATTTCTACTCGGTAGGAAGACACTTATATTTAAGAGCGTAAAGAGAAGAGGGGGATGTTTGCCTTATGTGGGGTTTGCATATTTCTTATTAAATTTATTTCAAGGATTTTTTTCTTTTTAGTGTTGAAAATAGTTTTTTTGAACGATTATATCTTCTGATGATGTTTGTGTGTACAAAACTTTTAATTTTTGTACATGAGTTTTTTTATTCTGCTACTTTTGAGTTAGTTTTGTCATTGATTCTCTAGGGATTTCTAGGTTGGTACTCATAGTTAAATGTATACACTCCCACCCATCCACACTTATTGATGGGCTGGCCTTTAAAGGAGTGAAGTTCTATTCAGGAAAGCTATTGCTATACTCCTAGTAGAGAACATGCAAAGCTGCTTGGAGGAGATGTGAGAAATGGACTGGGTTGACCAGTTACATGAACTTGCCTATGCTGTCCTGGTTGCACACCTCAGCAACATCAATTTCTATGTGCTGTGGTCTTTGGAATCACTCATGAATACACGTAGTGGCAACTGTTAAATCTGTTGCAAAGGGTCTGCTGTCCTTAGATAACCTGCTAAAAGTTGGAGGAGTTTCAGTCAGTCACTTGGAGAAATCACAAGTACGGTTGTGTAGTTCTGAGTTGGGCACAGAATGAAGCAGTGACTGTTGGCGCACCATGCGGTCATCCTCTCTCAGGGCCGGACCGCTTGAGCTTTGTGCCCCTTGGGGTTGCTGCTTTTTGACACCCTATTCCCCAGCTCATTCTGCTTGACCTTTCAGGCACCTGAAGAGAGAGTGGTCATGTCCTCCCATGGCTTTAGGTTATTGGCACGGTTTCAGGTTCTTCCAGAAACCGACCCCTGTAAGCGGAATCCCCTGCCTAGGAATGACCTATTATACTTCTTCCTGATTATTGGAGCTCAGCCCTATGGAGTTTCCCTAAGTAGGGAATTTGTCTCTATTATTATATTCAGTTTTCCATAACCTCCCCCACCCATCTTATTTCTGAATAATACCTTGGTTCCTCTTCTCTGGGTCATTTCACACTGCTCTCTTCCGACCCTTTCTGAACTTAATGTCCACCAGGAAGCTTCCTCGGTGCTCCACAATGACCCTTGACTCACCAGCACCCTGGATCTGCTCGAACGTCTTGAGCATAAGAAAGTCCATAGTCTGTTCCAAACTGTCAGCTGTTAAAAATGAATGGGCCTGGCCGGCATGGCTTAGGGGTTGAGCTTCGACCTATGAGCCTGGGGGTCACGGTCGAATTCCCCGTCAGGACATGTGCTTGAGTTTTGGGCTCGATCCCCAGTGTGGGGCATGTGGGAGGCAGCCGATCAATGATTGTCATCATTGATGTTTCTATCTCTCTCCCTCTCCCTTCCTCTCTGAAATCAATTAAAAAGATATATTTTTATAAAGAATGACATTCCTACTAAGACAAGTTACTTGAGAATTATTTTCCTTAGTTTAAAAATAAGATCTTCAGCCCTAGCTGGTTTGTCTCAGTGGTTAGAGTGCCGGGCTGTGGACTGAAGGATTTTGAGTTTGATTCCGTTCAGGGGCACATGCCCGGGTTGCAGGCTCGATCCCCAAAAGGGAGTGTGCAGGAGGCAGCCAATCAATGATTCTCTCTCATCATCGTTTCTATCTCTCCCTCTCCCTTCTGCTCTGAAATCAATAAAATATTAAAGAAAAACAAAACCTAAAAAAATAGAAAGACCTCTTGAGTTATTAGAATAGTGAAAGCACTCTGTGAATTAGACTTGAAATGTTATGTTGTGTTAACAATACATTTGGGAGAAGTAGGGTCCTGCATTTTATCATGACCACTTTCATCCAGCCAAATTAAAAATTGTAGTTATTTACCGACTCAGAATCACCTTTTGGAGGAAGCATGTGTTCATGACATGCTGCTGGTGTTTTCTCTGTAGACAGCTTACCTTCTGCGCGGGACCCTTCTGACTTGATCCTCACTCGGGGAACCTTGGATGAAGAAGATGAAGAAGCAGACAGCGACACTGATGATATTGACCACAGAGGTGAGTGGTGGCTCATGAAAACAGACTAGTTGCTTATCTCACATAGTTTGGTCAGGACCTTCTTGTTAAGAGAAGGTTTTGAATATGCATCCAGTAATAGGGGAGAGGAGCCATAGCCAATTGCTCAGTGGTTAGAGAATTGTCCTGCAGATTGAAGAGTTGCAAGTTCGATTCTGGTCAGGGGCATGTACCTCGGTTGTAGGCTAGATCCCCAGCCTCCATCTGGGAGTGTATGGGAGGCAACCAATCTATGTGTCTGTCACATCGATGTTTCTCACTCTCTCCCCCTCTCTTTCACTCTGTCTAAAAAGAAAAAAAATCAATGGAAAAAATATCCTTGGGTGAGGGTTAACAAAAAAGAAAAAAAAATTGGGGAGAGAGGAGATGTTAAGGTATAGCACCAGGAAAGAGTCTCATGCATTGGGAGTGCCTGGCCTTCCTGCTTAATGGTTAATATTGAGCTGATTACAGGCCTTTTATTAGTCTGTTTTCTCAAGTTAGGTCCTGACTCCGTCTGAGGAATCTAGGGTTTTGTTTATTGTAATTGCTTTAAGAATACATAAGGAGGCCTCAGCAGACCGGAACTAGTCAGAAGAGACTGCAAGTAACACTTTGAGGTTAAAATGGCTCTGGAAACCCAAAGGGTTAACTTGGCATAGTTTTATGGAATGTGAACAGAATCTATTTCTTGAAACAGCCCTTTTAGATCCTCGCTACGACCAAGAGCAAACTTCTCTTTATTCCAGTGTACTGGATGCTAACATGTAAAGTGCCTCATGTAATCAGATTTATTGAAGTATAATTTATAGAGTAAAACCCACCTTTTAAAAGTTTCTAGTTTGGTGAATTGTGCATCCCCCCCCCCAACCCCCCCAAATTATAAGAGAAAGTTTATTTAGAAAGTTACAGAGGTAGTAGAAGTGAGGCCCTCCAAGAGGGCCCTTGGAGCTTAGGAGAGAGAAAGGCAAAGGTAAGGTGCCTTTGGGGAAGAAGAAAAGGATGGGAAATGCTCAGGCATGCGAGAGAGAGAGAGAGAGAGAGAGAGCACGTGCCTCTTGAGGAGTTTTAACACATATAGTCTTGTAACCACCATCATAATCAAGATACAGAACACTTCCATTACCCCTGAAGTTGTCTCATGCCGTTTTTATTCAGTCCCTTCCTGCATACCTAGTTCCTGGCAATCACTGATCTAATTTCTGTTCCTATAATTCTGCCTTTTCCAGATTGTCATATAATTGGAATGACAGTATTTAAGTTGCATTCACCTTTTTTCAGTCAGTATAATGCTTTTGTGATTTGTTGCATGTATTAGTAGTGTTTTTTACAGTTGAGTAATATATGGATCTATCACAATTTATGCATTCACCACCTGGTTGACATTTGGTTTATTTCCAGATTTTAGCTCTGGTAACTAAAGCTGCTGTTAACATTCATTAATAGATCTTGGTGTGGACATACGTTTTCATTTCCTTTGGATGAAAATACTTAGAAGTGGGACCTCATTTTAGTTACTTGATGAGGGGGGTTTTTCCTCCACTTACAGATAAAAGAAACTGTACATTTGGGCCACATGGTAAGCATGCTCGGGGAGGTTTTTCCTGACTGGGAGAAGTGAACACTTAGTTTCTTAGAAACAGAGTACTGTGTCTGATGGACGGGTGGCAGCAGGTCTCATCTACCTGTCTAATGGGAGAGTTTAAAAAGAATTGACCTTTCTTGCCTTGCAGTTACGGAGGAAAGTCATGAAGAGCCAGCGTTCCAGAATTTTATGCAAGAATCAATGGCACAGTACTGGAAGAGAAACACATAGTTTCCAGATGTCCAAAAGTTTGGAACTCGGTGAAGAAACTATCCTTGCCTCTGATTGGGGTTCCTATAAAGAACAATTTTGTACAGAATAGCAGAGTTTCTCTTATTAGGGAGATTTCCTGACTCCAGTGAAGCCAAGGATAGAAGAAATTTGGACCTGGCAGGTAGATGTTGATTCCCTGTGGCCTTTCCCTAGGATTTTGCAAGGAAGGATTTTCTGACTGTTCTTGGATGCTGCTGTTCTGCCTGTAAACCTTCACGTTTTATCATTTGAACTCAAGTACTTTTGCTGCTAACGGATGGAATAGAGAACATATTGCTCACTTCAGATCTCTATTATTAGGCTGTATTTATAGCCTCTATTTCCCAAGCATCTTGCCCTTGACCCATGAGTTTCCCTCTTTTTAGCAGAATGGGAGATAAGAAACATGAGCTTGTACAGAGTGGCAGTGGAGTCTCCTTGGCAACCAGTCAATGTTGATATGAAATGCTTGGTAGCTCATAGGTTTGTTGAAGAAAGTGGACAAAACATAATAAGAATCCTGTTTTTGATGGTGACTTGGATAGAGTTTTTAATTTTAACTTTGGTATAAGCCTGTCAGAATTTAAAATAAGAAAATTATTATTTAAAACATTTGGACCTGACAGGTAAAAGCTGATTCCCCTTGGCCTTTCCCTTGGATTTTTGTAAGAAAGGATATTCTGACTGCTCTTGGATGCTGGTATTCCTTCCAGCATAAGAATTCATGTTTTATCATTTAAACTCAAGTACTTTTGCTGCTGACAGATGGAATATAGAGAGAACATATTGTTCACTTCAGATCTCTATTATTAGGCTGGATCTATAGCCTCTATTTCCCTAGCATCTTGCCCTTGACCCATGGGTTCCCCTCCTTTTAGCAGAAAGGGAGATGGGTAACATGAGTGTGTACAGAGTGGCAGTGGAGTCTCCTTGGCAACCAGTCAATGTTGATATGAAATGCTTGGTAGCTCATAGGTTTGTTGAAGAAAGTGGACAAAACATAATAAGAATCCTGTTTTTGATGGTGACTTGGATAGAGTTTTTAATTTTAACTTTGGTATAAGCCTGTCAGAATTTAAAATAAGAAAATTATATAATTACAAATAATTTCACTTCTGTTGATCAGAGAGGTTTAAAGACACATGTCCAAACCTGACTCAGTAAGATGATGTTTACTAAAGTTTCCCTGGTTACACACATCTAGTAACCAGGTATAGAGCCAGGCCCTGTTTGCATTTTACTTTGAACTTAATGCAAAATATGCTTGATTTTCCGAAGGCCATGGACTTGTGTCAGGTGTACATTCCATATATAACAATCATGGTTTACCCTGCCTCCATTCTTCACAGTATCTCAAATTGTAGTGCATTTCTCCTGAGGAATTTTTCCTGCCTAATCTGTCCTCCAGTGGTTCTGAAGTGTGGTCTCTGGGCCAGAAGCATAAGCATCATTAGGGAAATTGTTAGAAAGGGAACACTGAAGACCTGAATCAGAAACGCGGGGTGGGGCCCAGCAATCTGTTTGAACCACTGCTCTAACAACCCAAACAACCTGGGACAGTTCTAAGCCAGATGACTCAGGTATCGGCGATATGACCTTCTTTATCAGAGGACCCCAACTTGACCATCTGGTGCCTCTTCTCTAATTTAAACATTCTAAAAATAAAAGCATTTTTTTTTACCATGAAGTATTAATTTCAATATTCTGTACCTAGGGAACCACTGGTCTAAAATTTTGAATCTATAAGAGGAAACCATTTGCACAGCAAAACTCTGAACGTACATGGTTTTCCCCTTAGTGCCTTTGAACACTTTTTCCTTAAAGAATAACTTGTATGGCCTATACTATATGCTCCATAAGGGCAGGCATAATGTCTTGATTTTGGTCTTGATTAAAGGAGTGCTCTAAATTGCACAAGATTAGTAATCTGCATCCATAAACTTCAACAGAATTTAACATGCCGGCACCTATTACCAAGGCATAAAGCACATGTGTGCTAATTACTCCTAATTATTCCAATGCTGCATCATTTACATAATAAATACTGATTGAGACTATCAGATGCTAAGTAGGGCAGTACTGGAATGGCTGAGTGACAATAGTAAAGTTCAGGATATGATGTAGAGTAGAAAGCCTCTTTTTAGAGGCTACCCATCTAGTAGAAGCACAATTTGCAGATGTAGAATTCTGGCAAAGCAATGGGACTGCTGGCCTCTGATGGCCAAGCAGATGCAACAAATAATATAAGCACAAACCGGTTTTTGGACAGTTCCTGTTTGTTTTATTCACAAAGAAAATGAAAGAGGCAATTAAATAAATGTACATAGAGAAAATATTTTAAAAAATCTTAGTGGAAATAAAGATAAGGATGAGGATAGATGGAACAAATCTAAAGAAGCAAGAAGAAAATCTGTGGATGGGACAGGAGAGGGCTGTGCTACCACACACCTCGTTTTATGAGACTTCATGGCAACAGAAGTTTTAGAAAGACTCCGGATGGGTAAGTTGTGCAGAGGTTAGCGATTTCTTTCTAGGTGTTAGTACTGGATTCCCAATGACAACCAAACATGAAGTAAATTAAAAAAACTGACATCTGATACCAGCACACATTTACTTGTGAATCTTATTCAAGCACAACTTTGAGGTTTAATAGGATCTTAATCTTCACAGCAGCCCTGCAACATGGGTCAAAGTGGTACAATTCTCAGTTGTGCAAGAGAAATGGCCTTGGAGAAGCTAAGCAACGGGTCTAGTCACAAGGACAGCAGTTCTGATCTCCTGATTACCATCCCAGCATCATGACATACCTGTGAAATGTGGCTTGGTTGGTGTGGAAAATTACAAAAACTGAATGCAAAAGTAATATGCAAACTTGTTTGGTTAAGTTCAATTTCACTGAAATCAGGAAAATCCACTGTGTTTAAGAGTCAAATCGCTATGGAAACAAATCTGAATATATCAGGTTTTCTGTTGGGTTTGTAGGTTTGGACAGAAATTATCTCTTTTCTTTTTATATTTTCCTAATCCTCTTCTTGCAGCGCTGGTTGAAAACGGGGGAGGATCCTATGAGGCTATCAGTGGAGTGGGAGCCGTAGCTGCTGTCTGAGTCATCTGGGCTCGGGGGGATTCCAGCTTCACTCATGCCTGACATGGGCTCCTCGAAGACGTCGCTGCCCAGCACGCCGTGCCCGGAGACAGTGCCTTCTTCGCTCTCTTGAGGCTCCATTTTCACGTGGGCCAGATTCCAAAGAGGGGAAGCATTTACCTCCGTACCTAAAAATGGAAGAACATATAACTACAGGCCGTCCTCGGGTTACGTCGGACAAGATGTACATCGTTTCGTGGTTACATCACCTCCCATTTATTTATTAAAAAAAAAAAAAAGTTCTGTCATTTCGACATATGTACATGTGTGCTTTATGTTTTTATTATTCACCACAAGTAAAGGTCAGGAATTGTTATCTTTCTTTTAATTTTTTTTTTACTGTTTCACTTCATTACTGCTGTGTATGTGCTCCATGTGAGTGACATAGGTGCTTGTGTAGGTGGGTTCCGACTTATGGCAAAAATTGTGTTACATTGAGCCGTAGGAACGGATCTCTGATGTAACCCGAGGACCTACTGTACTGGTAAGCCAAGGCTGGAACCAAGTAGAATAAATATCCTACCCAGGGCAGACTGATGGCCTTTGAGCTCAGCTTATATTCTGACTATTGGCTGGAGAATGTGGTTATAATTCTCTGCTTCAAAAAGTTAGACCAACTTTGAATATCTTCCTTTCTACTTCCTTCACCCTCCCTCACCCACCCCCATTTTTCTGAACCAGGGAAGTAAAGCTGAATGCATGTGGCAAGATTCCCTGTCTCATGGCCCAAAGGCAGGCACAACCACAGGCTCTTGTTCAGTTATGTTTGCTTGTCCTTCTTTCCTTTAACGGGACTGCCTTGTTTTCCTGCCTTTTGTTTGGGTTCCTGGTCCTATCTCATGAAAAGTTAATGATCACTCCACAATGCTGGTAGTTCATGGCCCCCAAGTCTGCGACAAGGCCCTCTGTGTGTCCTAGCAATACTGTTCTGTGGGCATTCTCCATGGTGAAAGGCTCTGCCACATAGTTGTAAGAAATGTGGCCTAATTCTGTTTATGCCACACTGGAGGATTCGCTGTTTGCTTCCTTTGAGCATTGATGAAATGACAAATTGTATTTGTAAAGAACCAAGTGTCTAGAAGACTAATTGCAGTCTCACTGACTTAAGGATAAAGTCATCCTAGTTTGTAAGGTCATTGCGGAGTCTATCTGGAAGAGGGCCAGCTGCCTGTGTAGCCCCGTGCAAGCGCTTTTAGTTCAAATTTGTTGTGTTACTCTAGCAAGGAAGCCCGACTATTCAAATATCCTTGAGCAATTAACACTCCTCATTTATCTGGAAGTTGTCTTAATTGAGTACAAGCACCAGGAAGGACCAAAACAGATACTAAGGGTGGGAGGGGACATCTGCCTACCTAGCTGGGTCAGCTGAATTAACTAGTAATCAGTAGGACAACATATATTACATCCATATCCTAACTAGGAATTATTTAGAAAGTGCTTGTTCTTTAACTACAAAGAGGAGAATGTTGGTATCTCTAGATCAGTGAAGCTGTACTTGTCTTTAGACTTTTCATTCTCCTGCCCTCTTCCGCTTTTGTTCTTCAGAGTATAGTTCCATAAGGTAAAAAGTACTGAGATTGGTAGATACCCCAGAATCAAGTGTAAGTTGATTTCTCTTACTTGAAGCCTGCGGTGAAGCCTCAACCTCCAGGTTAGACGGGAAGCGCTCACTCTGAGCCCCAAGGACTCCCATGGGCAGTGACTGGTCTCCAGAAGCAAGGTCAGCCTCCAGTTCCTCACTGACCGGGAAGGTGATGTCACTCACAGGTTCCTCCTTGATCTTTACAGGTTTGGTGTCCTCTGAGGCCTTCTCAGGATTGACAATCCTTTCATACTCTTCAGAAAGTTGCTTACTGATCTGTTGGCAAACAAGAGACAGTTTTCCAAAGAAATGTTGGAAACAAGTCGGAAAAGCCAACAGAATATGAATAAAGCACCCACTGCCAGTGGAAGGAATCTGCTTAAGATGTTGAGTTTGCATTTGTAAGTGATAGACATGTAAAGAAAATTTGCAGAGTGTGTGTGTGTCATTAATTGAAAGTTACATAAAGGTGAAAAATAGAGATAAATCAGGAATGGGACAAAAGATCACATTTTTGGTTATAAAAGTAACAGTTAAGCCCTGACCGGTTTGGCTCAGTGGAGAGAATGTCAGCCTGCGGACTGAAGGGTACCCGGTTCGATTCCGGTCAAGGGCATATACCTTGGTTGTGGGCACATCACCAGTAGGGGGTGTGCAGGAGGCAGCTGATCAATGTTTCTCTCTCATCAGTGTTTCTAACCCTCTCTCCCTCTCCCTTCCTCTCTGTAAATCAATAAAATATATTTAAAAAAAAAGAGTAACAGTTAACGTATGTACCCCAGGTGGGTAATGAATGGTGTAGGAACTCTGGACCACTTGGCAAAGACTTTTTGTTGTATATGTAAACATATACAGCTTACACAGCATTAAAAATTCTTTACGATAGTTTAGGTTTGGGGAAACCTAAACAGTGATCAAATTGCTTGCATAAGGCCACAGTGGTTAAGAGAGGAGATATTTCTGGTTCTAACCCAAAATGGTGTCTCTCCCTGCTTTCCCACCGTGGGCAGTATCACTTCACTGTTTTGTTTGGCCAGGTCACTGATGAGGCCAGTGAGTCTAATCTAGGGCCATGAGGAAAGTAGGTTATGTCTTCTGTTCCAAGATCCTGTGCTCCATTCTACAGGAACTGTGGGACCCTGCTGAGCAGCCTAGACTGCGTTCTCCAGGGCGTCGCCTCACCTGTAGCATGTAACTGTGATAGTCCTTGATGCGGTGCTGCCAGAACTTCTGGAGGGAGAGCACACTGCCAATGCCCACTTCATGGAATACCTGCTCCATAACGTCAGGAAAAGGCGTCTGCCCCAGTCGGGCCTCCCGATCCACAGCAAAGCGCAGCAACTTGGTGAACTTAAGGCAATACTCATGTGCCACATCCGTTAGGGTCTCCAGGACACTTTCATTTGCGCACTCGAAGCCTGCATGGGCCAGGATGGTGGCCACTGCCTGGTAGAGGAGCTGCCGGCAGGAGTGCCAGCTGAGTTCAGTCACAGGTTCCCCTTTCCCACTGAAAGCAGACACATGGTAGTAGTGTTACGAGTGCTCCTGCAAAAGGGTGACCTGTCCTGTCTCCCTAGAAGTTTTACAATTCCAATCAAACCACTGGCCCAGCTTTCCAGGAAAATTCTATGCAGTTACACAGCCCAGTTTTTATTTTATTTTTATAAAAAATATATATATATATTTTTAAAAAATATATTCTATCGATTCCTTGGCCAGTGGAGCATCATGAAGAAGGTTGAATTATACTATTTATATTTTATAGCTCACACATGGAATATCTATATTCTTTTTATAAAAAATATATTTTATTGATTTTTTTACAGAGAGGAAGGGAGAGGGATAGAGAGTTAGAAACATTGATCAGCTGCCTCCTGCACACCCCCTACTGGGGATGTGCCTGCAACCAAGGTACATGCCCTTGACCGGAATCAAACCTGGGACCCTTCAGTCCGCAGGCCGACGCTCTATCCACTGAGCCAAACCGGTCAGGGCCCCAGTTTTCTTTACTGCTTGCTGGGGTGTGTCCAAGCAACCCACAGTCTTATCTCTGAGCTCCTCCAATTACATAAAGCTTGAATAGGCGATACATACCTATAAGAAACAGTGTAAAAGGGTGTCTAGTAAAAAGGAAGTTTCCTTCTTATACCAATTGCTCAATTTTTATTACTGTTAGGATCTGATTGACTTTAACAGTAGAGCTCAGACACTGCTCAATGGTGCTCTGGTTATTTCACTAGAACATCGTTTCCTCACATGCTGGGCAACATATGGCCTTTCAGAAATTTACAGTCCCAGTTAGGAGATTCTTATATAACTACAACAGACCATTGGTAAAACTGGGAAAGCAACTCAATTTTATAAAAGCAACTCAAAACATATACAGCTTACACAGCATTTTTATCCTCTCCTATGCTGTGAAATGGGTAGCATCCATATTATTATTCCTATTTGGCAGGTGAGGAAACAGGTTCAGAGGGGCTCACTTGCCAAAAGTTGTTTGGGTATTATTAATAAGTGCCATGTGGAGCTTCTGACTCCAGATCCCATGTTCTTCATAATACAACAAATTGCACTTAATCACTATTGCAGAAATCTTAACCTTTACAAGAAAAAACTTCAAAAGCTGTCTGATCTCCTAAAAATAACTTCTAACAATCCTGTAATAATGTATCTGTTTCCTGAGATTTCCTATCTATCCTCTGCCTCCCCTTGACAAAGGAAGTAAATAAGTAGTTAAAATATAAAATATAGGATAGAGAAAATGATTCTTCCCTGCTCCGTACTTGGCATGTGTCACCATTTGCTGTACAAAGAGTGCTGGAGGAACTATCCACGAACTACTATTATCTGCTCAGTAGCAACTACTGCAATTCACACAATAGTTGGATTATAAGAAAACCAACTGCCAAATAACTTTCCATTTACTGTTTCCATCATCATTTCCCAGGCCAGTATCTATGCCAAACGCTTTAGGCCTCAGAAGTGCCTAATAAACAGATAGCTTCTCTTGAGTAATATATGGACCTATATATTTTCAAAGGAAAATAATTCTTTTGGCACTCCCATAACTGATGCAAATTATTTTTGTTAGACAGCTTCTTAAATATGTATAAAACAAACTAGGTGTGAACTTTGGATGTTTATAGCTCTTCTTCACAATTAAAGTTAGGAAATTGACACAAACTGCAAAATTCTAAATAACACCACCAATTTAATATGATGGACGGTATTATTTTGTTATCACTAAAATGGCACTAATGGCAAGTGTTTTTAAGTTGGACATCTCTATAAGAATATGTGCCATACATGTTATTACATAGTTATTGCTCCCACATTCACTATTCCCAAGACTTCAGTGACATCATCTGGCCTCCATTTGGCCCACTGCAACTTTTTTTTTTTTTTAAATATATTTTTATTGATTTTTTACAGAGAGGAAGGGAGAGAGAGAGTTAGAAACATCGATGAGAGAGAAACATCGATCAGCTGCCTCCTGCACATCTCCCACTGGGGATGTGCCCGCAACCCAGGTACATGCCCTTGACCGGAATCGAACCTGGGACCTTTCAGTCCGCGGGCTGACGCTCTATCCACCGAGCCAAACCGGTTTTGGCAGCCCACTGCAACTTTTACGTATTATGTCTATTCCTGTTCTTTTCTCAGTAGTTTGTGACAATTAAAATAGTACTATTATCATCAATAGGCTGATATAATAAGTAATATACAATATTATGTAGACTTTTGCCAAACAAATTTAACCTGAATCTAATCTTGAGGAAATATTAGCAAATCCAGTAAGTGGCACATTCTACAAAATAAATGACCTGAACGCTTAAAAAAATAAAATGTAATACATGAATCTTTTATTAGGTCCTGGATTGTGGAAAATTATCTACAAAAGATATTTTGGGGATAACTGGTGGAATCTGAATATGGACTTAGTATATGATATCATTTAATTAGCACCCATTTACTTTGGTATAATAATAACATTGGGATTATGCAGGAAAATGTCCTTATTCTTAGGATAACTTGAAAAATTCAGACATGAAATACTGTGATGTTTGCAACTTTAAAATATTTGGCATAAAAAAGTGTGTTTGTGTATATGTATTTGTGTGTACACACACATATGGGAGAAAGTAAATATGGCATAATGTTAACACTTGGTGAATCCAGGTTAAGGGTACTTGGGTGTTCATTGTACTGTTATTTAAACGTTTCTGAAGGTCTGGCAAGTTTCAAAATGAAAAGAAAAAGGTAGTAATTTGGAACCAAATGCAAACATACACACTGACATCTAGTAGTAGCACTAGGTTATAAGTCAGTCATTCAGAGGATCGGGAGCAAGACTTCTCAAACTTAAATACACGCATGAATCTCTTGGAGATTTGTTAAAATGAAGATTATAATTTAGTGAGTCTAGGTGAGGCCTGACATTGCATTTCTAACAAGCTCCCAGGTGAAGCAGATGCTGCTGGTCTTCAACCGGATATGGAATAGCAAGGATCAAGAATGTTTTTATATTATTATTCCTTAAACTATGTTATCAAAATAAATAATTTAAAAATCCCAGAATAATAATGCCAGAATAACTCTCTGCATCTCAATTTGAGGACACTGAGCTAAATCCACACTGGCCTGTTTTACACAGTGTAGTACCTTGCTCCTCGTAAAGTGCATGGTACATAGTTTGCACTCAATAAATGTTTGTTGCATCAGAAAAAAAAAATACAGACTTTGGATTTTGGAGATCAGGATTCAAGTCTTAGACTTCCCATTAATTACCTGAGCAACTATGGCCAAGTCAGTGACTCTTAGTTTCATCATGCAAATGTTACTGCATGTTTAACATGGTTGTTGGAAAGATTTTTTGAGAAAAGTAAGATGTAGTAAACCCTTAACTTACCGATAAAAGTCACTTTCCGGGTCACTGTGCCGAATCTGGAATGGTGCGTTGGGATTCTTACAATCTAAAGGCAGGAGGTCATCAGGAAGAGGAGGTGACCCAGGGCAAGAGGGAAGAGGTTCGCCCTCTTCAGTCTTTACACCTTCCGTCTGTTGCTGATTCTGGGCCTGAGCTGTAGCAATGAGGTTGCGCAGGCGCCGGTTGTGCTGGATTAGCTGGATGGTATGGATGGTGAGGCTGCATGGCTCTGAGGGGATATCCAGCATCGTAGGGGGCTTGGGCTTGTTGGCTGAGGGTTGGTGCAGGGGCGGGTCATGGACTTCCACCAGGCGGAACTCCCGAGGCAGCAAATCAAAGGAACTTCTGTTGGCCTGGCTTGATGAGATTGGTATCTCTCCCCAGTATCTCAACATTTTTAAATAAGAAGAGCTTTCAAGTTAAATGTAGAGGATATCCTAAAAGTAGTGTTTTTTAACTCTCTGGCCGCTATAGCTTATAGGTTTCTGAAGTGGAAAATATGAAGTCTAGTCGTTATTTACATAAAAAGTAGGCTGTTCAAGACCACTTAGAAAAATGTCAGTGTCAGCAACACTGCAGGACCAAAGATGTTCTCCCTGCAGAAATGAAGAGAAATACAACTGTTACATGACAGTCATCAAATCACACATGATGATAATACCTACTGGGCTGAATGAACCACAAGGTGGAGTTTGGATTCCAGCAACTGGGACTCTATTTTCCATCTCACTCCACTGATTTACCATTAGAATCACCGTCATTCCTAATCCCGAACAATCTGCAAACCCAGTTACTTAAATGAGACCTGAAATATTCCTCAGAGTATCATCACACGTATGTCCTGGATCAGCAGGAGAAAAGGGGGTAGAGTGAAAAGCAGGAAGAGGCGGTTCTCATTCTGTGCGTCCGGTACGGAAACTTTCAACTGGTCCTGGTGGGAAATGTACTAACAGTAACCTTAATGTGTTCAATTTCTGACATGCATATGGGAAGAATCTGAGACATTTCTGTTGACTCCTAACTGGTACTCCCTCTAGGCTGTCCTTGTGTCTAATTTGTTCTCCAGTGCTGCTAAACTTACTCTTTAAAAACTCAGGTTAATGGCTTCCCACTGCGTATTGGAAAAAGCCAGTCAGAATTCTTTGGCCCAACCATTCAACAGAATTCAAGATCTGTCTACAACCCAGCGTTCCAGGTTCATTGTTCATATGTCTCTTCAAGTTCAACAAACATGTACCAAATGCCAGGCATTATGGGAGGAGACCAAGGCCAATGCAAAATCCCTGACCTGAGGCGAGGGAGAGAAGCATAAAAAGAACATTTCAGTATGAAAATATGTGCTAAGTGCTGTTCTGGAGGCGCAGACACGGAGCCGCGGAAGTCCAGAGGGGCTTCCTGGGGGAAAGGACCCTCTCAGTTCTAACCATAGCATACTTCTCAGTCTCCTGAGAACGCCACGAATCCCCACATTTGACCCTTTAAGGAATTTCTCTGCCAGAAGTCCCGTGACATCCCTGGTGGACTTGTACTCATTGTCAAGCACAGTTTCCCTCGCCACCCTCCTTAACCTCCCCTGTACATCTCCCTCCATTATATTCTCTCAGCCCTTTGCATGTGCGATCACAGCATTTATCCCTGGATTTAAACCGGTACTTACCTCAACTGACGTTATCCTCCCATCTACCTCTCAAAACCATGATCTTAGTACAGCGTCTGGCTCACGGTAATATCTGCAATTTACGGAGTGCTTATATGTGCCAGACTTTGCCTTCATTGTTTAATTCCATTTTCCCAACCGCCCCCTGAAGGAGACACTGCTGTCATCCCATGTTCCATATGTGGACGCTGAGGCAGGCCCCTGTCCTGCCCACTGTCACAAATGGCCAAGGGGGGAAACCAAGCCAGGCTTCGGAGTCTGCACTCGGAACCACTTCACTCTGCTGTCTCAGTAACTCGTTTTGCAAAGAATAAAAGGATGGACGAATTAATGAATGAACGAAATGATTAAAGTCAACTTGCCCTGCAGCCGGCGCAGGCACAGAGCGCAGGGTCCTGGAGTCGCCTGATGGTTGGGCAGCTGGGAGACAGGGAGGGCTGGTCCCGGACGGAGGGCTGGTCCCGGACGGAGGCCCGAAGGCGCCACCATTCACTGCCGCGTCGTGGGAGCGCAGCCAGGCAGCGGAGCGACTCCCCGGGCTGCGGCCAGGATTACTTCAGGCCCCGAAGGCTGGCTTACGGGTTAGTGGTCCGAGGCTGCCGGAAGCGCTGCTCCTAACCGGGACCTAGGAAGTCTTTAGAACCCGATGTGCAACCTCTAAACGCGTCCCCGTCCGACAGCCGCACGACCGCCTCTGTTGCTTTCCTCCTATTTATGACTTTCCTGTTGTCTGCACCTCTTCGCGCACCCGCACCTCCGCGGCCAAGAGCAGCGCCGGGAGCGGGGCAGAGAGGGGAGCGGGGAGGAACGTAGGGACCGAGGGGGAGGTTTCCCAGGACCAGCTTTCGAGGCTGCACCCGATGAAGGATGGCTGACAGCCTCCCTCTGGCCGAGGCAACGGCTTCACAGGAACTCAATGGCGACTTCAAAAAGCCAGCCCAGCCGGTGCCCCCGGCGGTGCGGGGCAAGTTCCCGGCCGCCAATCCTTCAAACCCTGAGGAGGTGAAGGAGGGGCCCGCGGCACTGCCGGACGCAGATTCTGGGGAGCCCGACGTCCCCCCGGCTGGGCCGGATCGCACGGAGACGCG